TGTGGGGGAGGACTGATGGCTGCTTCTCCTGCGTTACCCGAGATCTGGAGGGGCTTAGGCCTCCGGGCTCAGCAGGCATGCTGAGGTAACTTTAACAGACAGGTGATGGGATATGTGTCAGCAGTTGGGAAAACCCTGGTTCTCTTTACCTGAGCGTGCCCCGGTACTGGGCTGACAGGATGATCCTCCGCCTTGGAGACAGGGAAGCACCTCGCCTGCAAGTCCAAACCCGACCCCCATGGCGAGGGTGGCTGCTCTGGGTTACAGCAAGGGCTGCGTCCCTCCACACTGCTGCGGTCCCTATGGGATGCTGTCCTGTCCCACAGCTGGGTGAGGGCAGGGGCTTCCATTTTATGGAGGGCTGGGAAAGGGGTGCTGTCCCCCCCAGCTGCTCTGCAGCAGCCGAGCCTCTTGCTGACTGGGACTCCCGTTACCTTGGCATGTCGTCTGAGTGCAATGCGTGCCCCTAGAGTTTCTTTATCTTTGAAGACAAGGAGTGTTTATATCAGAGCAGAAATGACTGCCCCTGCAAGGATTTGACAGGCCTGCCTCAATTCCCTCGTTCAGCTGCTTGCTGCTCCCAAAACTCGAGCCTGTCAGTTGTGTTGAGTCGAGGCCTGCCTTGGTACCAGGCGGGGCAGGTGAACAGTTCACACAGACCCCAAAGGGGCCAGGGGCAGAAGCAACTTCTGAAACCAAAAAATTGCCTCTAATGAAGACCTGAAGTGTGGAAATTGTGATTAAGAAGTGCTAACGACTCTTGCTCATAACTCCCACTTGTGAGGAGAGAAAACCCGTGCGTGCAGGCGGTCTCCTGTGTGGCGCTGGGGATGGCGGCAGCGAGCTGGAGGCCTGGCCATCTGTTCGCTTGCCACTTAAAATATGTTTCTGTGTGCCAGTAACGTAGGAGTCTCTATTTTAGGTTTTTTTTTCCACTTCTCCAAGGTGTATTTACTATTTGACTATAGTAACTAGCTACATGTAGTAAATGCTGGGTTTTGGTCATCTCGGGATTATTGGTGCACGCTCCCTAAGAGCAAACACGCAATCCCTCCGTCTTGGTGGAGGTGGGAACCAGAGAGGAAAGTCTGTGTGGCCCCGTGCTGCCTGAACTTGCTTTTCTTATCTCTAATCGCTGACTTGAAGTGTATTTAGAACACTGGTATCTCACTGTACGATCTTCAAACTATTGTAATGGTGTTGTGGGCCCACAGACACCGCATGGTTTCCTTTCTGCCTTGTCACAGCTGTCCAAGTTGCTGGTTCCTGAATTTGGGTCTGCATTAATATGTAAATAAACTATTTTCTCCACTATGTTTGTGAGAATAGTACTAACTTCTTTTTAGCCACGCTGCTCACTAACATCTGCTGATCCCATATTTTGCAGTCTTGCCTCTAAAATAAGGAAACCTGGGACAAGTGCCCCTTTCCTGCATGGTTACAGACTCAGGAGCTACATAGCTGTGGGGATTAAATATGGATTGAGGGCCCAGCTTCTTAAAGTGCTTAGGCACAAGCAGGTGTCTTATGGGATTTTGAAAATATCCTATTACATTGCCAGTCTATATCTTTAAGTGCATTAATATCGTTAAATATCTGGGTCCCAGGTGGTCTTCTAGGTACCATGTGCTCCCTGCCCAGCAAGTGTGCCGCTGACGTGCGGCAGATGGGAAATTATGCAGCCTGGGATCCTTGTCTCCTTTTATCTTTCTCTTGTGGTAGAGGAAACGAAAAATTAGACTTGAAATGGCTTCTTGTGGGAGGGAGGACAGCAGAGCCAGGGCTGCGACTCTGCTTATCCAAACTGCCCTGTGCTAGAGGGGAAAAATGGGAAGCGTTGGCATTCTGCGCTGGACTGCCTGCTCACGTAGGTTGATGTTTGAAGGACGGTGGTGGCCATGACGAGGGGCCTGCCCTGGCCTCTCCACACTGGCAAGGATGGGGCTGGCTCTGGTGCATGGGCAGCCATCATTGTCAGTGGGATGACTTTGATGCTTGAGTTCACGTGGGGTTTAAGCCATCTGTGCTGCCACGTTGCGTTGCGTTAAGCGCATGCCACTGCCCAAGTAAATCGCTTATCTGCTCTGCAGGGAGCGGTAACTATCTAACCTCTTTATCTCTTTCTTTGTGTCCAGCCCTCAGTGCCGCCGGTGCCAAACTACAAGCTCTCCATGTCGATCCCAGAATGGCTGCAGGCAATACAGACCTACATGAAGATGCTGCAGTATCCTTCTCCAGGATGTAGTCTCCATAGAGAGGGCTGGCTTGTGCCTGGCGTGAAGTAACAGAGGCTTTACCCAAGCACTAGCTGGTTCTGAGGGCTTGGGATCATTTGAGGGTGAAAGGATGCCTCTAAGGATTTGTGATAGCACCTGCAGCGCTGAGCTTGTCACAGCAGTCCTCTGGGAGATATAATTAACTTTAAATGATACTGAAGAATTTAACTGAAGTGACATTGGTGGGTGTAGAAATGCTTACTTTGAAGTTGGTTTATGAGGATATTATGATCGAATCGTGATGCCTGGAGAGATAACACAGCATCTCGTCGTAAAGCGACTAAGGGAGAGCCAGTATTGTGGCAAACACTTTCTCCTTCTGCCCTGGTAGCCTCTACAGGCTCCCTGAGGACTGCCTGCTTGCTCAGCTTGCAAGGAGTGCTTGCCATTGGGGTGGGGGGCACAAGCAGCTGTCCTGACCCCGAGGTGGACAGGTTTGCCCATGACACAGGAACTGACCAAAGGAATCCCCTCTTCCAGATGTCCCACCTTGCCTGGGGGGGGTCATCAGAGAGGTACACTTCTATCTAACCTCCCTGTTGCTGCCCCATGCCTAATACCTGACTGTTTCCATTGCTGACAGATAGTGTTGGAGGAGACCGTTGCTGGCCCAGATGCTGCTCTTGTCTTTGTTTTCATTTTTTCTAAACTCTCCCTTTTTGTGTGTGTATGGGGGGAAGCAGTGGGAATGAGGAATGAATGTAAAGTCCTGGGAAGGATTAAGAAAGGATATGGGTGGCAGCTGGAAGAGCATCCAAAAATAGCAGGCGTGGTTAGCCTGCTGGGGCGCAGTGGTTGGGATCAAGGCGGCAGCAGGGGTTTGAGCCGCAGCAGCTGCCGTGGGGAGGACAGCTGGGGCCAGCCTGTTCTGCAGGGGGATGGTGCATTTCCCTTCTGGATGTCAGCCGCTTGGGCAGGACGAGAGGCTCGCTGCTCAGTGGGGTCGTGCTGGAGAGGAGACCGTGTCACACAACTCCAAAAATTATATTATTTCCTCCCTCCCACCCAGTGGTTTTAAAATCCAGCACTCTGCTACATAGCAGGAGTAGGCCTTAGGCGTGGGGTTTGGATCTGTGTTCAGAAAAGCTTCAAAGTGGGCTGGGGAACAGGGTCTGGGTTTCCTTTGAGGGCTAAAAGAGGCTGTATGCTTTGTTCAGAGCACTCTGAAAGGGCCTCATGAATTAGGTTTTGAAGGCAGGAGGGAAGTAAAGCCTTGTTTCTGGAGAACTCTGAACTCTAATTGAAGTCAGTTCAGAGCATCCTGGTGTGAGCTGGAGTTTTTATTTAGACCACGGTTATACAGCTGGCAGCTGTGCTATTTATGCCTCACAAAGTACCCTTTGCCTCCGTGGGGTCACCTGTTTTTCTGCCCTGGTATCACCACCACCGTTTTACTGGTGTGAATGTTCTCATGGCCGTGTTGGGAACTAGGCTGGGGAACAGATTCAACTGAAAAAATAACCTAGTGAAAGTAAGTGGATGGTGTGATATTTTTATTTTTTTTAATTTTTTTTGGTGGTTGTTGTTGGGGGATTTTTTTTTTTGTTTTTACTGGACAGATCAGTTTCCTAACCTGATTTACTGCATTACTGCTTGAACAGCTATGCTCGAGGAGCAGGGAAGAGGCTGCTTTTGGTGGTGCTGCTGCTGCATAGTAGCTTGCATTCCTAGGCAGGTGGTGATGAGGTTTGGTTGATGGGTGACTGTCTGCTGGCATCCTTTGTGATGAACTTTTCTCCCATGCTCATAGTGTTAGCTAACATTCTTGAATTGCACTTAGCTAGTTATTTCTATTTCAAGTGCATTGTATTTTTTAGAGAATGATTTATATTTCCTAGGTGTAAATGATGCAGCTGCTGTGCTTTTGGTTTACAGGTCATATGTGAGCTATGTGGCTGCCTGAGTTAAAAACTTACAAAGGAAATAAGTTCTTTCAAACCATGAATTATGTTGATTGATTTGGGTATACTATAAAAGCTTTCCCTTGCCCAAATGGGAGACTTTTTTTTCAAACTTGTAACCTAATAGTGAGTGAGACCTAGAGGAAAAGAGAATTCATAACTCTCAAATGTCAAATTTAAGTGTCGTTTGAGACAACCTACCTTTTTGCTTGACTTTCCACCTAATGCTGATTAATATGTCATATAAGAACAAAAGTAAAAAAATTGCTTTATTTCACGTGCCAGGGTTTCATCTCTGTTGAGAGTCAATGGCTTTTACTGCTTGTTTTATGCTTCAACAGGGAATCAGAACTGAAATTCACCTTTCGAGCACTGATATTTTATTGTTTGGCTGTTCAAGTTACTTTCCTTTAACAGATGAAATTCAGATACAATCACACAGGAACACAGTTCTTCGAGATTAGAAAAACGAGACCTCTCAGTGGGTAAGTGTCTCTGGAAGTGGTCTAGTGCCCTTCTCCCACATCATGCCAGCTGATCACCTTTGGCATTTAAGCACTGTAGCACCGTGGTATGGGAGGGCTGTCTCCTCCGTGCCACGGCTCCTCTGCCAGTGTATGTTGCTGCCTTTGCAAGGAGGGTCCCAGCTTGCTGCCAGGTGGCAAATGGACCCATCGAGAGCTAGCGAGTGGAAGGGCTGGTCTTGCTCAGCAGCCGTGTCAGAGCTGTGTAGCTGTAGGCCAAAGCTGAACGCACAGTGCTAGGAAAACTCTCAGTTCTTGCTTGTTGGTGTTGGATTGGGAGGGCTGGGCTGTTTTTATGGAAACTAGGTAAGTCCTGATATTCTGGTTGCATGGTAATGCCCTTTGCTGATGGTAAGAAGAGATCAGCTGTGCAAAAGGCTGCAGGAATTTTGACGTCTCGGGCGCAGTCCTTTCCCCCGAAGGATCACAATGGACCATTTAAGTTGTGGCTGTGCCCTTCCTGTTGCTGCTCATCTTGCTGTTCTTTCCATGTGGTGGACTCTTGGGCTGTTTGGTGATGAGTTGTGCGATATAAGTACTAACATGTGTGCAGGGAACCTGGCAACAGAAAGCTGGGATCGCTTGCATCTAAGGACTGCATCATACTTAGGACAGCTCTTTAATAGGACCCAGTAAATTAGCAGGTTAGGGCGGGAAGTGATGTTGACAATTTTATGCTTTTATTTTAGGGTGAAATTTAGATAAGTAGAATATAATTACTCCTGTAGACTGGCCTGTCTCTTGCTCTCCCCAGCTGTCTGTCATTAATCTAATGGTCTGTCACTGTAAATTCCAGTTCCCATCCCAGCTCTGCACATCAGGTTTTCACCTTGCTGACAGCAATCTTTCCCACTTCCTTTCTCTATGTAATGTTCACTGCACTGGTCGAACTAGTTTAGAAGAAATAGTGTGCCTTGAATGATAGATGGGTTTATGGAAGCTTAAACCAATTTTCAGGCTGGTCATTTTTAAATTTGTCCCCTTACTTTTTTCCGAGGAAGTGGAGGATGAAAATAAGTTGTGCCCAGCACTCACCACTGCGTGAAGTGAAGGCTGGCGTCCTCCTGGGCTGGATGAAAGCCTGGCTTACTCTTTCCTGGAAGAGAGCCAATATAGTGCTCACAGCTGGAGATGTACCCATGGCTTTGGATCCTCTCCGAAGTGGTGCCATTTCCTCAATATTTACCTGCCTTAGTGTTTCCCTGGGGACTCAGGTCTGACTTCTGTCCTTGTCCTGTTGCTGTTAGGACTTCTGTGAGTGACTTGGTATGTGATGGCAGGACTTCTGCAGCATTAAGGGGAGTGCCCCTGGAAATGGTCCAACCCCTCAGGACAGCTGCTGCCGGCTGGCCAGGCACAGCTGCCTGCCCCTGGTATATGCTGGACTGGCACAGTGTTAAGTCCAAAGACCTGTGCTGCTTTGCTCCTTGACCTGATGGATGGGAATGCTAGGAGTAGTGGAGCTGTTAGGAGCACGCTTAGCTGCCCAGATCCTGTTGTACTGCAGCAGGGCTCGAGCGCTTGCCCTGTCTTGGTTTCTTCAACTTTGAGAAGAGGAATAACGCATTGATTGCCCTGTGATGTTGAGGTGTCCCTGAAGGTTTTCCTTTCCTTCATCTGGGGCACGTGGCTGTTCGTACCAGCCGAGGATATCTTCTCCTGCAGTTGTCCTTGGTGATTTGTTCTCCTGCTACCCGGCCAATTTTCATCAGAACTGAAAAATTGCCCACACCTGGAAGTTTTTTCTGGGAAGTGTATTCTACTTTGCAAGAAATCTGCTTCCAGTGTGGCGGCAACAGGTGTCTTGTGCTGGGGCGACAAGCACTGCTCTGAGCAGGTTTCTGTGGTGTGAAAGGCTTCGCTTGCTGCAAGATAAAGTTTGTATTTGCATCAGGTAAGATGCTGAGCGCCTCCAGCTGCCACCAGCTTTTGAAAGTTGAGGCTGTTTCCAGAGCTGTGATTTACTGATATTAAACATATTGCTTATTTCACAATATGAGGGTTCAAAGCTAATGAAAGTATTACAAGAGCAGTGGCTGGACACAAAGAAGCTGAGTGCTAGATGGAAATTGAATATTCATAAATTCGTGTGAAAGTGTCATAAAGCAGCTGGGGCATATTAATGAGTTTTTCTGTTATGGAGGGAGAGTTAGATATTATAGAGATTTACTGTCAGCATTGGTGTGATGCATGAGAAAATAAAAATGCGTGGCTGCGCTTAGGAAGAACATAAATTATCTATAGGAACTCATAACATTAAGAGACACAGGCTTGCTATAATTCAGTATTTACAATCTCTCTTAAGAAAAAATCACTGTTAGCTATCAACTTACTTCTAGACTGCCAGACACCCTGTACATTTGTCTAGACTACAGATAACACTTTTGAAAATGTTAGATTTCTGTTGCCGTAGCTATGTGAGCTGGGGTGGTAGAGATGTGATCCTATCACCTTCAAACTGTGGGTGGTACTCCCGTTGTACTGGCAAACGGTGTCTGAAAAATGTGTCTGTGTCTTTGTCTAACCTTGCCTGAGTTTGCTGTATTTGCACAAAATCCAGATTTACAGGTGTAGCTACATCCACCATACGAGTGCTTTGCTAATTGAGTATACGGGTATCCTGACCCGGGATGGTGTCCTTCACACAGGCTTTGTGATGTACCCTTTCGTACTGGGTAGGTAAAGGGCACCCTGTGGTGTTCAGCTCTGCTGATCCATCATACATACATATGCATGCGATACGAGTGTTTCAGATGCTGATAGGTCTGGTTTTCCTTTTCCCATACAGGATTATGCTGGCAAAACCTATATTACAGCTTTGTTGGTATAACCGATCTGATAATAAAAGGTACCTTTAACTGAAATAGCCATTCTTTAAAGCTTCCAAGCTTAGAAATCATGTAAGGACTTTAGAAAAAAGTGTATTTCTGGATATCTAGTAATACCTGTAACTGTGAATTCAATGCCAACAAGCTTTTATTACTGGCTTTACAAGGGGCAATAAGCCCTCTGCAAGCTTCTATTCTAGGCTGCAGGCATGAACCACAATGAGGAACAAATACCTTTGTCCTCCACAGAGTGTCTAGGGAGGGTGTAGATAGATGCGGTGTTGTGCTGTTCCCTCCAGTTAAGTGCCTGCTGATCAGCGGGACCTGCAACTGAAGCAAAAACTGATGTCTGGGTCAGTTCTGGGGGCTTTGAGAAATTACAGCTCAGAAGCTGCTCTGTGAAGATGGAGAGACATTCAGTGACTGCAGATATAATGGGTAATCAATCGCAATAAAAGAGTGCGATAGAAGCAGTCACGTGGGAGCGATGCAACCAAATAACAGCAAAGGAGGGGGATGGAAAATAATACTGTTTCAACACACCATGTTATTAAGGAACCCTGACGGGGCTGTAAAGAAAAATGGGCTCATACCATTTCCAGACAATAGACTGCATAAGGCATTTGAACATCTGCTTCTGTCTTGTGCAAAGGGAGAATGTTACAGATATGGTGCTATATTCAGCACGTGGTAGAAATGCTTTTGCTGTTGAAGCAAACTGGTTTTGAGAAGATTCACGGGAGCAGTAGCTGCTGTGTTGTTTTATCTCATTTTACTCCTGTTGATGCCTTTTGCTTCTCTCTTAGCTTCATCGGGAAGAATAAAACTGCCAGGAGCTTAGAAAAACTTGAGAGAGGGAGATTTTATGGACCTCATGCAAGTACAGGGGCCTAGGGAAGGAGAAGTTTGTGGAAAATGTTCTGGAGGATCTCACTAATACAACTTCAACTGAAGTCTGTAGGAGTCTTTCTGATTAAGATAATGGGCAACCTCTCCTCCTCAGCATGGTCATCTCTGAAGTGACTCCAGAGTGATGGGTGCCAGCTGGTGAGATCCTCCAGTTTTGAGTATCCTGAAAGGTTTGAAGCTTTTTCTAACCTGTGTATGAAATGGGATGCCCTAGTGAAAAATCTGTGAGCAAAAGGAATTCATGGTTCCCATGGGATGTCTGCAGACACTGCCATTTTAAACAGAAAACATCCTAAAGGGGCAAAACCATCTCCTCTGTGGGCCCTCTCTTACTGCAGAAACCAAGGGAGATAATCCAGGTGGGCTCCTGAAAACATTGAAAGAAATTTGAGTCAATTAACAAGGAAATACCACTGCCTGCCAAGGACTAGATCTCGAGGGAAGAGTGTGCAGCCTGTTCCCATTGGCTGCATTTGTTAGAAGCAGAAGCGTTCACTGTGGTCTGGAATAGAGATCTGCCTGGCAGACTTGAGATAGTGGTGTAAATGCCGCAAAGAGGGAAGCTGCATGGTGCTTATTTTTGACTGTAGCAGTCTCCCTCGAGTTACTGGAAGAGATGGGCTGCCCCCATGCTCACTGGGGTCTGTGGAGAGGGTGGCTTTGGGCTAGTTCCCAGCTATGTGTGATATTAGATAGCTAATGCAGTACTTTACAATCTATATATGTGGAATCTTTTCAGATAACTGGAAAGATTTAAAGAAAATCCCAGAAACAAACCCTGCTTGGGCAGGGAATTGAAATGCTTGATGTTTTTTAATTCTTTTCCGCCTTCCTTAAATCTTCATTCACAAGTTAAACTGTGCAGACTTTCTGGCTATGATTAACATCTGAGACAGCATGGCAAGAATGGAGGAGTGAAAGGAAATAGGGAAAGGACAAGTCAAAGAGTGCTTGTAATGAGTTATTTTCAAATGAGCTGGATGCTCCGTCATTTGTCCTAGATCACTTAGAGAACTGACAAACAACCTCCAAACCATTAACACTTCTGTTAGAGAGTGTGGGGAGGATGGGTGCTCTTGTTGGAAACTAGGGAAGGCAAAAAAGCAGCCTTTAAAAACAAAAAAAATCTAGGAACTTTTTGAGTTTATCTGCAGTGTCAGGGTAAGTGATAGGCAACATGAATTTAGTTTGGCACAGTTTGTTTCTGATAATTTCCTTCTATGAGAATGTAAGAGCTTTTGTCAATCAGGAAGAGTTGTGGACGTGGTATCTCTTTGCTTTAGTATGGCTTTTGGGAGCTTCCAGATAAGGCAGAGACCTTGAGTCTAAATAAAACTATTTAACATAAGGACCCAACGTGACGAAAAGCAGCTCTTAGAAAGTGGTTCTTAACCAATAGCTTGCTCTTCCCTAGCACAGTTTGTCAGTTGAGGTGTGCAGCCTCTGTCCCAGGTCAATGTTTTTCCATTAATGGTATGGATAAGACTAATTGTCTGCTAATAGATGTGCTTTGCAGTCCAGGCTGGACAAGGTGACAAGGCTTTGCAAGGTGGAGTTGGGATTCAGAGTGATCTTGAAGGGTAAGAGAGCTGGGCTGGAACAAACAGGAGGTAATTTAGTAAGGGCAGATGAAGAGGAGGTCTTTGGGAATACCCCGCTGTGGGAGCACACAGTAGAGAACGAGAGGCTAGTTTTGCAAAGAGGGAGCTGATCTGGGGAAAAAAAAATACATGCACTGCCCCCCCGCCCCGCCAATAAAAACCACCAAAACCCCCAAACAAACAAAAGAAACACCACACAAACCACCCCCCAAAAAACCCCAACATTCAGTGTGGGTCAATAGGGAAAAAGCCAACAGCACGCTGGGTTGCTTGCAAAAATACACTGAAAGTTGGATTCAGAAGGAAGTTGGTCTGTTTGTATTGTGATGTGGTGGGCTTAGCTGAAGGACTGTGAGATGCGAGTCAGTTGAAGAGAATCCAAAAGCAAAGCAACAAACATTGCCCAAGCTCTAGAAAACATGACCTAGGGGGGAAACTTTAGGGTGAGAGAGGGAGGGATTAAAAAAAAAATAAAATATCTGTGTTTGCTTTCTCGTGTTTACAGAGGAGAGGGTAAATTACAGCCTGTTGCATATACAAATGTCTGTTGCAAGAGGAGAGATAATAAATGGTCTCCATGCTCACTGTGGATAGCAGAAATAGCTTCTGCTTTAAATTGCAGAAAAAGAAAGATTTAGTTTAAATATTAGGGGACCTTCTTAGATGCAAGGTTAAGCATAGGATAGATTAACTGGTGGGTTCCCAAGCCTTTGAGAAACCGGTTAAAAGTAGGTTGGAAAATTATCTGAGAGGAGTGATTTAGATTTGGCTTATGCTACCTTGAGCAGAGCGGTGGCTTGGGGGTTCTCCAAAGGCTCTGCTTCCAATGCAAACATGGGGTTTAAGGCCATGCTTCATCTCAAGCTTGTTAAAAGCAGAAGAAAAGCTCTCAGTGGCTATTGAACTGGGTCATCTGTGTAAACCCTGTGGCCTGTGCTGTAAATGCAGAGAAAAAGCAAACTTTGCAGGGTATTCCCCAGGACTCTGGGATAGATGCGGGCGAGGGTGCAACCTGTCCTGTGGGTGAGATAGATGTCCGTTCGCTGATCGTTGGTGATGCCTCCTGACCAATGCTCCCCTTGCACAGATCCTCATCACTGTCACGGTCCAGAGGCTGTGGCCATCTCTGAGCTGCCAGGTCCCAGCTGGCCACTGAGCAGCCGCTGCAGCTCCTGGATCCAGGTGCTTTGAGCAGGAGGTGGGACAGGAGGGATTCCCGGGGTCCCTTCCAAGCCCAGCTATGCCGTGATGTTATGTAATGGGAAGGGAGGGCTGCCGCTAGTCTCACAAGGAACAGCTGCTGTACCTGTGCACTAGTGGGCAGCGTGTTTTTAAGCAAGCAAAATACCTTTCCTGTTTGATTGAAATCTGTCTTAATGACCTTATAGTGTCCTGGAGAGCTGTGCTTCAGAACCAACGTGTATGTGGCTTGCAAAGAGAGTGCATGTTAAATACAACTTAGTATTTAAATAATGTGAGCATTGCTGCGACAGATAAGTTGGTAGGAATTTGGCTGCTCATTTAAGCCAATTACTTTCAAGACTCCCTCCCTGGCTGTGGATCCGTTAATGTTATCTCTATGCTGACAGCACTTTGAAATCATGATAGCAGTGAGATTATAAAAGCAGACGTTAAGAGACCTGATGCTGCATGTGGTGATGAGGCAGCTCCAGTAAGGTTGCAGTGTTTGCCTGCTGGCAGCAGGGTCACTGTAGGTGTAGACCTGAGGAGATGCTCTCCCTGTCCTTTGAACCATGTTAACCAGGCATACACCACACTAAATGGCTTGAAGCTAAATAGGTTTACAACTTAAGCTTTTTCTTGCTTCTGATGCACATTCATAGTCACTTGTGACTTTTTTTAACTCCCCTTGAGTTAAAAGATAGGAAATTCAATGGATCATCTTGTTCATGGATACCTCCCATGCATCATCTGCATGTAATACTTCTCTGGACGAAGACGGGGCTTTGCAGCGGGTACTGCTGCAACCAGCGCTGAGGAGCTGCTGTGGGGGATGAAGGGACCCCATTGTGCGCCCGTGCCGGAGCTGCTCTGTGCTTCCAGCAGTGGGGTTTCTGTGGCTGATTGTGAGTGTGTAGGAGGCAGGCTAACTCTAATTTGTCTTCTGTACTGCAGGCAGAGTGTAAAGGGCAGTTGTTTACGAATGAAAAGATAATTTCTAACTTGGATAAATGGGACACGGAATGGCTGTGACAGGCTGTAATAGCGGTGGAAGCTGTATTGCCATTAGCACTCATACAAGGTTTAAAACGCATGAAGTGGGTGAATTGGAAAGTGGGAAAAACAGGCTCTAATGGTTTCAGATGCATATTTTCATCATCTTCTCTACTACAAATATTTTTATCATTTAATCTGGTGTTTCCTTGGAGTAGGGATCTGTTTACAAAGCTCTTCTCAGTGAAAAGATATGGATAGAGAAGACTTCAAAATAGAAGCCCTTTGGTTTGGCTTTTAGCTTTTTTTTTTCTGGTGTGTGTGATTGAATATGACTTTTCTGGCCTTTTTAAAATCTCCTTCCAGGGTGGGGTTTGTGTTGGGGTTTTTTTTTAACTTTTCAGGTTTTTGGGATCTGCTTGTGGAAGGGGATAGGATAACTAGTTGGTTGATGGTGCTGTGTCAATCTGGCACAACTGATTTCTCAGCTGAGATTAGGTTGCTTGTTTCTCATCAGTGTGTTGTCCCTGTCAGATAACTCTACTCCAGAGATAAGGGTCCATATTGTAATTAAACTTTGTGAACTTGTAAGATCCTGGGCATGCATAGTTTCCTGCAGTCCTGCAGAAAATCCTATGCTTTTTACCACTTTCCCAGTCCACAGGAGGCGTGGGGAGCAGCAGCAAGATGATAGCTCAGCTTACGGTGGTGTGAAGTGTCTGTGTTGGTAGAGCTTTCTGCAGTGCAGGTTTTGGTTAGAAAGGCATTAAATTCTTGTCTGCATCTACAGCTATAGGCTCACAGAGGCATTTGTAGCTTTCAGGGGGCCATGATGTAACTATCCTCTCCCCTGTTTTTTCCAGAGGAGAGCCAGGGTTATTTTGAAAATAAGCTAAACTTGGTCCTGCTGTGGGAGCTTGCATGATTGCCAGCTTGCCAGCTTTTGCATCTGAGCAGGGCTTTGTGTTACAGTCTGAAGTGATGCTTATGGAGTTGCTGGGAGAGGCAGAGAGGACTGCATTCCTCCAACATATCTTCAAGGGCTGGAAGGCACTGGGATGGCAAACACCCTTTTTTTCTTTCTGAACCCCTCCCCACCTGCCATCCTCCAGAAGTCAGCAGGGCTCTGGCAAGTTGCTGAAGAGGAGAATCAGGTTCATCGGCGCTTGCTGAGATGAGAACCGGAGGCACCTGGCTCTCGGTGTACGAGAGGACCCTTTGATTCCTGTCAAATGCTCCAACTGAAAGGACTGAAAACTTTCTTGTTTCTGTCCTAGGTTAATGGAGACAGCAAAAGAAATGACCAGGGAGTCCTTACCTATCAAATGCCTTGAAGCAGTTATCCTGGGGATGTATCCTTTTGCATGCCTGTGACTTTTTCTGCTGCAGTGCTGTTTAATATATTGCCCTTCCTGGATGGTGTTTGAGATGGATCACAGCCAAAGGTGAGTGTCAGCAGCTCGGGGAACTGCCGTGGTATTGGTCAACAAGGTGCCAAATTGCCTAGGCTTGTCAGTAGCTGAGTTTGGATGCCGTGTGCCCAGTTCACGAGTGTCATGCTCTGGCCGTGCTGACTTTGCCTCCTGCCCTGCTAATCTGCATGTCAGGCTCTGACCCAAAGTGCCCAGATAAGCATCTGTCTACACAATCCTTGTTTTCTTCGTTAGTATTTCTCTGCTGGTTGTTGTTGGAGCTTGGTAACATCTGAGGAACACAGGTTCTGTCCTATGTTTGTCTCATGTTTACAGGGCAAAGTCATGTTAGTTTTGTGTCTCAGCCCGCATCTGTGCTTTGTGCAGAAACATATGCGTATTATAGTTAAACATTTAAGCTTTACCTTAACATAATGCTTGCTTCCTATTCAATCTCAAGGAAAAAAAAAAACCACAAGGATATTATTTTCATTTAGAGACTGACTTGCTTCTTGACCCTCTTGTGCTGTCACTGATAAATGGACCTGCATCATCCTAAAACGCTAGAGGAGGGCAAGGCAGGGTTACAGGAGTAAGTGTATGCCGGATACGTCTTACTACAAGAGATCAAGTCGGCTTTAAACCCAACCCAACATAAGCCCCGAAGCAAAGCAGCTCTGCGGCGTTTCGCTGGCTGCTGCTGCCCCCTCCCGTGGGAGAAGGAGCCGGCAGAGCCCGGCGGGTACCGCCCGGGCCGGGCTCAGGAGGAGGGCTGGCTGGCACCCCTCGGAAGGGGACGGGGGCTCAGCAAGTGTGGGGTGTGCCACACTGGTTGCTGGATGGGGTCCTCGCTGCCCTGGGAGGTCTGTGGCGGGCACCGGGTGCTGTTCCCCGTGTGCCAGGGATGGGCTTCAGGTCAGAGTCTGCAAGGTGGCTCCGGCTGGCGGGGCTTCCCCTGGGAATGCTGGCAGGGTCTGCGTGCAGCTAGCGGGATGGGGGTCCTGGGGGCTTGATGTCGGCAAGAAACTCAAACCGATGCCCTCCTAGAAACAGAAATGGTGTCAGTGGATCAACATGTTGTGCTTGCTCTTGCATCAGGTTTGTGTCCCAAACTATTTCGGGATGAAAGGGATGGGGGAAATAATCCCCGGGTGGAGTTGATGCTGCTCTGCAGTGTCAGTGTGGCTTTTAGTGCTGTATTTCTAGTACTGAACTGATTATTCCACATGCCACACAAGCACAGGGTGATTAGTTGTGTACAGATGACCATGATAACCTGAAAGTATTCTTGCTGGTCTAAAGGCTTTGACCATCTTATTTTCATTTGGAAAGTTTTTTTTTTCTGCTTGCCTCAAACCTGACTTCTGTTCCTCCTTTTTTTTTAGCAGTGGGGGAAGCAAAATAGTCAAAAGCTATGAAGTTTCTTCAGACTTCTAAGATTTCAGTGAACCTTTCTGTCTCCAGATGCTACTTTAAAAAAAAAAGTTTATGGGAAAACTTTTTTTTAATTGAGAAGGCTTAGGCAGGGGAGGGTATGGGACAGTCCTGTCTTCTTGTGATTTCTTGCTGTCTTGGAAGTCTCCTGTATGAGAACAGGGACTATCTGCTGGGCTGGTGGTCTAGTAACAGATATCTTAAAGTTTAAAAGATCCATGCAATATAGAACCTAAGTATTTTGCTTGAGGTGTGGGTACACAAAGAATGTAGCAGTGGTGAGTGGATGGTCCATCTGAATATGTGCGCTTTGAAAGCGGCTGGTATGAAGCCTGTGTCCATGCCGAACCTCGTGGTGCCATGCTGCATGTGCACCATGTGGGTTTTTGGGATGCATCTGTGTAGCAGCATGTGGGGAAGTTTGCTGATTTTTCTCAGCTGTGAGACTTTGATCTTCAGCGTTACCCTCTGAATGTGGACATGGTGAGGCCAGCAGCTGCGACCTGCTTTCCAAGGTCAGGTGGTTACCAGATAGGAGATGCGCTTACCCTCTCCTGAGTGTCAAACCAATGTCTTCACATATGCCCGAGCTGAGCATCCCTGCTCAGAACCTCTGGTTCCCTTCTCTGTCTCTGGAAATAACGTACTGCTTGTAATTTGTGTGCTGGCAGGCTTTGTCACGTTGCTTGGATACCGACAAGAGCACAGCCTACTACAGTGGACCCTCGGCGTGAGCCTTCATTCAAAGGCTGACTCGTGCAGAGCAGCTTAGCAAGATGTCATTTTAATTGAGCTGCTTGCTGGCTTGTGCAATTGCCTTTTACTATGTGACTTCTTATAAAACGCTTCTGTAATCCCTCTTGGTGCAGAATTAAGTTTTGCACAATTGCCTTCGTACTAGATTTTGAAGTGTTTTTATAGGGCAAGGAGTTAAAATACTGAGCTACCCTGTCTGCACACACCAAGGGAGCAGATGCTGTGAGATGACTGAAAGCTTGTACAGATCTTCCAATATTATTTTGCCGCAATCTGCATGGGTCTTCTCTGTGTAGCTGTCTCAACTGGCTTTGTACCTCTCTGCTTACATGGTCTGCTTGTCAGTGCCTAACCAGGGGCATTCCTCCTGCTGTCCTCCCCAGGGCATTTCTCAGTTCAGTTGTAAGTCAGCTGAGTAACAGTGCGTTCAGCCCATTCTTTCTGAGCAAGGATTCAAATGGCTTGTGCTCAAGAAAGGGAATAGTAAACTAAAAAGTGCCAATGGAATTTTATCTGTGCTGTTTTCACTTTAATGGGGAGAGCAAAATAACAGACAGGGAGAGGGAAGTGCATCCGTCCTCAGGGAGTCTCGCAAAGCATGTCTGTTGGGTGGATGTAGCTCATTCCCGTTGCCTTCAGCGTGCCTCTCCCAGTTCATGCGAGGTAATGGTCAGACCCATGCAGTGTATTAGACCTCTCCTTGTCCAATAATATCATTAAATGAGGGAGAGGAGAGCAGAAGTGCCTCAGGAGGGAGAAATTATTTGATAGTTTCTGTGCTATACCTTCTGCGTATTTAATCAGTGGATGATGTTTATCACCACTGGAGGCCTGGGCCCATCCTGCTCCTCCTGCCTAGTAGGTAATTCCCTAGGCTGGGAGTGAGTGTTTTCAGTAAGTGGGATAGTTTCTTGCAGTCATTGCAGGATATTGATGTCCCCACAGTACCTCTCTTTGCTCTTGCATGCTTGTCCACAGCTTGACCCAATCGCTAGCTGACATATGGGCAAGGAGGGTCCTGCTGAATATCTACAACCCCTCTGGTAGCTGGGAAGAGCTGGGAGAGAGCTTTTAATTGCTTCCATTGTCACGGTCAAATCTTAAGCTAGTCATCTCAGACTGCAGCCAGGCACTGGGGAACAGGCGCCTCATTTTGAGCGATGCCAGCCTGGCAGTCCTGCTTTGGGAGGCTGAGCCAGCTGCTTGAAGCCGTTCCTTCGTAGGCACTGAAGCTGCCGGGGGGACCCTCGACTCTCGGTGCAGATGGCATCCAGATGTGGGCTCAGTAGCACTCTGTCTCACAATAAGCAATCCCCAGCCTGGGACCTCGGCACTCCTGGAGCCTGTGGGAGATGCTGTCTGACTCCAGGCTGTGGTGGGAGACTTCTCCCAGTGTTTACTGCTGGTGGTCGGAGGCTTTCTGACATTGTGAGCAGTTGCTTGATTGCTCGGAAAAACAGCTCTTCTGTTTTTACTGAAGCCTTTCCTGATGGTTTTGGAGCATGATGTTTATTTTCCTCTAGCTCCACCTCCTCACTCTGAGTTAGCGGCTTCAGCATTGCTAGCGTAAATAAAGCTGCCTCTTTGCTCCTCTCAGCCTGCTCTCATCGCCTGCAGCTTGCTCGTGCCCCGTGGCACAGCCTGCCGCGATGGCTCGCGGCGTCTGCTCGCATTTTCCCAGCCCTTCTGAGCATCAGGAGAGGAGGGGATGAGACACCCTGTGGTTTTCTGTGCTCATCTTGACCAGACTTTAGCAAAAACCACCCTTGCTGGGCTCCAAGACATGAAGCACTGCAGTGTCATCTTGTCTGAGTTAAATGAGGGAGAATTTCAAACTAATAAATAACAAATTGATTAGCACAAGCAGTGCAATGGGCACTCTTTTGCTCAATATCAGGTTAATCTGGCTTTCCCTTTTTTGTCTTTGGCAGAGTGGAAGGCAGAGTGGAACTCATAGCAGAGACACCCGAAGGAGTCAGGTGTGATGCTGGGTCTTCCTGCAGCTGGAGGTGAAGCACTTGCGAGTCTGGGCTGTGGGATAACTGGGTGCTTAGACTCGCTCGGGCATCAGCGTTGGCGGGCTGGTTTGGTCAAACAGTTGGTGCTGGCACTTATATCTGAAAGCTGAGCATGTCTTGGTTTGTTTCAAGCTGCTGCGGGCTCTGCAGGGCTGTGGCGTGCTGTCTGATGTTTGGGCTTTTTTTCCTTCGGGGCTCTGAGGAAGAGAGTCTCCTCACATCCCCTGCCCTGTGGGTCCCTGTGGGTGCTGCAGGGAGGGGGCACGGTGCAGGGATGGCACTCGTCTCCTCACCTGCTGCTAGTGTCCCCCTAGTACAGTTGCTGCCTGTCAGCTTGGCAAATGCACCAGGTGTTGGTTTTTTTTTTCTTCCCCCAGCTAAACTCCAGTTGAAGCCAGTTTAGATGCAGGTGGACTGAGGTCCTTGCAGTGTGTCTCCTCACCTCCTGTACAACTGGCTGCGGTTCCTAGCAGATGTGGGAAAACTGCTGGTGGCAAGTGACTCGAGCTTACCTAGCCATGGGGAGCTAGCTGCTGTCTGGCGGGTGCTGTCAGCTGCTATTTCCAGAAATATTCGAAGCCTGGAGCCACAGTGCTGGCACATGGAAAGATCCTGCTCTGATTATTTATTAATTTAAAAAAGGCAAGAAAAGAACACTTTTAGAAAAAGTTGCTGCTGGCAAATAAGATGAAGGACTTCAAGTCTCTTTTCTGGCTGGGAACTGCTCTGTGCTCTGCAGTGGGGCACCTGTGTAGGGCAGGGTCTGTACTGGGCGCGAAGATGCTGGGACTTCTTTGTGGGACATTTTTGATACTGGAGTTCACCAGGAGGTGGAGAAAGAACAAACAAACAAACCCCAAACCTTTGGAACATCGGTTGAGTCATTGTGTGACTGTGGAGATTTAAAGAAAACTCATCCAGATGCTTTCTGCTCCAGAGTTTTAAAACTAAGGAGTTGACTCAGCTAACACCTTAACTAGTTCTCCCCTTTTCTTTTGAACTGACTAAGGATGCTACTCCTCATTTGCCCCACTGCCCAGGAAGATCCAGGTGGTGGCCGGAGTGCAGGTTTTGTATCCCAGGTCTTGCTTGTATTTGAGTCTGGGATCTGAATGTCTCTCAAGTATCCAGGCTAGGTTGTGCGTGAGTCTGGGCGGTGAAGGTGATAGAACTACGGGAAGCACAACAACCTGTGGCTCAGAGGATGGTGTCTTTGTGTCGACTTGCAGATCTGTAGAAGCTGTGTGCTGGCATGGGAAACCTGGCCCTTTCTGCAAGCTGCTAGAAGTATTGGTGTGCTCAAGAAAGCCTACTTGTTAATAGACCCATACTGGTTTACTCCAATAGTCTGTCACCCCCAAAGCATGTTGTATGCTTTGGGCCCGATTCTTCTCACATTTCTTTGACCCAAACCTATCTCTTTCAAAATCAACCTCATGGGGTAAGAGAGCAGAATTTATCAGTTGGCTGATACACGCAGCTCTGGCCAGCAGGCATTAGTGTCTCTGGGGAGTGGAAGAAATTGAGGTTGAAGGACTAGTCTGTGGCTGCAGAAGAGATGAGAGTCAAGGTGGACAGGGTTTGGGAATCTCCGAGGGATGGGGATATGCCATACCAATCCATTCCTCTGAGAGCCTGGTGGAGCTCCAGGTATCGTCCTTGTATGTTTCCTGGGTGTAGGAGAAGAGGAGGGATATCAGGGCAAGAGGTGGCCAGCCAGAAGATCAGTGTCCCTCTTGTGTGATCTCTAGGGAGATCAACATCCCTCAGTGCTGTTGTTCTGCTGCTTTTATTTACGTGAAGACCTGGGATCGGGAGGCCACCAAGCTTTCGTTACAGCTGCTTTTGCCCTCTCCTGCTCTGTCCTGCTTCTCTATTGTGGCACATAATTTACTCCCTGACTCTCCATCCTGCAGTTACAGTCCCAGCTCAAAAGTGTGATTACAGCTGCGGCATTGCTGCGTTGTTTCCTTTTATTTGCCACAATACAGCTCTCCTTGGGTAGAGCAGAAAGGAAAAGAAATAATAATGATGCATGGACAGAGGGGATGATCTGACGTGCCTTTCCAGCCCATTTGCTGTGTATTTCATCTCGGGTGGGGACTGTCATTAACTAGTCACTCAGCAGAAACAACCTGTACCTAAAGGTTAATTTCCACAGCAGTTGTTGCTGGGTTATTTGATGGTGGGTAATTTCCATCCTCAAAAGATTCTTTTGCTCCTACCTAGTATTTAATGAGATTAAATTGCAGCTTCTCTGAGACCTTGTGGCAGAAGTGTGTATGTGTGGCAGGTGGCCACCAAAGCTTTGTGTGGACTTAATAGAAAGGCACTCAGGGAGCAGAGAGAAAACTCTTTCATAATGAGGGGGGAAAATAGTGGCAATGTTTGAAAGCTTCATAGATGTTAATAAAAGATACTGCTTTTTCAGTTACACAGAATGATAAATACAATAGGCTTCTGCAAGAATCTGTCTGTAGGACACAAATTATTGTAACATGACTTTGATGTACACAGGATGCTCCTTTTAAGACCTGGAGCAAGGTGACCTTTTAAATGAGGTGACTGTGGGCTGAGTTTTTCAGTTGATATAACGGCACTGGGCCCCATTCTGACCTTGCAGTGTATTTATAATCTTTAATTCTACCGATGGTGTGGGATTTTTCTTGGAGAAGATAGTCCTAATGCAACAGTAATCCAGCAAGACCACCAAAGGCAATAGAGCTATTTCTGTTCCATGTCGGTGTAGTTCCATGTCGGTGTATTTGGTATCAGGGTGAGCTTTGACAGTTGCTGCAGGGCGTTTGTGTTTGTCAGTGCGGCAGCAGATGGGCAGAGGTGGGCACACACAGCCTTGGCTGGGCGAGGGCTTGTTTGCGCGGGAAGGAGGTCTGCGCTCTGCCTTGCACGCTCGTCCGCACTTGCTGTCATACAGATACTGAAGTGCACCGGGAGCTGGACCCATAGTGGTGTCTGTTTCTATACCCTCTAATACATTTTCTCCAGACTGCTAAAGCTGATGGCATTTAGCACTGAACACAATCAAATAAGTTTGACGTTGAACTGAAAAGCTTCCCTGTGGCTGTTCTGAAAGATTTTTGCCAATGTGTTTTTCTTGCATTTTTTCCTTTGTATAGAGGTTTAACTCCTTGCTCTTCACCTCAGATTCTGGGCAGTTCATGAATCTCTCACTAGTTGGTTTCTGTGGTCACCTGGAGGGCAAAAGTTAGAATATGTGAAATTGAACAAGCTTGAGGTGGGTGAAATATCCCCTTGAGAAAATGCTTTAGAGACCGATGAGAGCTGCTGGATGCTTTTCCTGCATCCCTGTAGAGAGAAGAGGTGAAATGCGGGGTGCAGGTGGGGGTCAGTATCCCAGGGAGTTGCACTGGTGGTGAGATGGTGTGTCAGGCTGGGCAGAACCAGAACCAAGCCTGGAACATGTTTTATGGTATTGGTACAAAGGCTTTTTGTGTTCTCAGTTTCCCAGCAGCTGTTGGGCAGCCGTGCTATGCAGACATGGGAAGAAGGCTGGCTGCAGTAACATACCAGGACATTTCAGCTGTGCAGCGGCTCTTGTTTCGCTGCTGTTAAAGACCTCCTTTTTGGGCACGGGGTAAGGGGATGAGGGATGCTGGAGATCCCCAGAGCAGCACCTCCAGCAGAAACCGACCCAACTCCTCCGTTCTTCAGGCTGCCTTGATGTGATCCTGGCAGTGCTGCCCTTTGGGCCAGTGTTTTGTAGTGGCATCACTCTGACCGACTGCCTCGATGGCATCTGCCTCCGGGGATGGCTCCAAGGTTACAGCAGGTGCCTCTGGCTGGAGTTAGCCTCTGGCTGGAGTTTCTCACAGGCAACAGTGTCTTGCTGCAGCCTTTTCTGGTCATCCCTCCATTCCCCAGGCGTGGGTGGGAGCCTCAGCCACAGAGGGGAAGAGCACCTGCTGTCCCTGGGGCCGGGTGTCAGCATGTGGAGCCAGGGTGAGTTTCAGCTATGTGGGTATTAGCAGCAGGGAGCCTCATGTGACATAGGTGCTGACGCAAACCCGCTTGCGTGAGGGAATCTCGGTCTCTTGTCCCCTTGGCACAGGCCAGCAGCCTCCTGAGGAGATGACCAGGGACCCGTGCGTAGTTCCCCTCAGAGATCACCTACTGTGCCCTTATGGAGCTTGGCCCCGGCCTCTGCATGTGGTGCATTTGAAATGGCCAGCCAGTGATTAAAGGGGACATGTTTTGCTTTTTTAAAAACATTTGTTCCTGACCATGTCTCTCTGCTTATCTAATTAATTGTCTGCCTGGGAGCTTTACTTTGTTTGTCTCAGCAAAGCGTTACAAGGGTAACATGCAAAAACACTCTTGTATGAGGAGTGGCCATGCCAAGGGCCAGTTTACAGGTGGAAAGGCAGACTGTCACCCTGGAAAGGAATAAATTCAGATTTTTTTTTCTAATGTTTGAAGATGTGGGAAAATGAGGATCAATAACCTGAGTTGTACCAAGCTCTAGTGTGAAACAGAGGGCAACACTGATCCCTTTTGGCAGTGAGGGAGTTTGTTGGTATCAAATGGGGGGAGTTCCCACAGATCTGGGGAGAGTGGTCTCTCTTCTGGTGTGCTGACTCAAATACTGTTGTTTTTTTTTTTTTCCTTCCCTCCCAAGCGTGGTTAGGAGTCAGGCCCTTCCCTGTCTGAACCATTGCATCTTATTCTCCATGCAGTGAAATGAGCTTTGGCAGTATTGACTGTTTCTGGGGCACGGCAAGATTAAATTTGTGTTTGCAAGAAAGTGCTTGCTGTGGTAGTTAAAAAAAATTCTGCTAAAGATGTCTTACAGGTGTAACTGTGTACGCTCCCTTCCCAGCACCGTTGTTGCCTTGACGCAGTACATGCCAGATACTTAACGAATGGGCAGCCCTCTGTGGAACGATTCCCCATCAGCTTTAAAACCCACTTCTCAGGGAACTATTTTCATCATGTGGTGCTTGGGATTTACTGCAATGGCCGGTATGGTTCGCTCGGCCTGAGCAGCAATGGCCGGTACGGTTCGCTCGGCATGAGCAGACGATCAGATCTGATGGACAAACCTCTAACTTATCGAAATCTGAGCGACCTCATCTTTGAATTTGAAGACTCCTATAAAAAGTACTTGCATTCAGTCAAAAAAGTAAAAATTGGATTATACGTCCCTCATGAGCTGCACAGCTTTCAGCCCATCGAGTGGAAACAGCTGGTCCTCAATGTATCCAAGATGATGCGCACAGAAGTCAAGAAGGAGCTGGAGAAGTTTGCCAGGGATATGAGGATGAAGGTAGGTCCGTGTGCCTGGGCGGTGGACTCGGGAGGTGGGTGTGCCTTGTCCCAGCCTGCAGAGATTGGTCTTGCTCCATGTCAGCAGACTGACATCAGCCTGAGATTAAGGTGGTATCAGCTGGGCTGGGGGTGTGCTTACATCTGTCTTCGTGATTCTCCCACAGAGTTTGGTGTGTTTTCAAGCCCTTATAGCTATTGTTTGGTTTAAGGATCTCCCCTTCAGCCTGGGAAACACTTGAACCCATATACTTGTCCCTGGCCATCAAGGAGCTATTGCCCAGTTTGCTTTTCTCAACAACTCCGGGAGAAGGTGGCTGGGCAGAACCATCACTGCTGGAGCTGCTGGGGTGGGTGGCCAGCGTGGTCGCAGGTAGGGATCTCAGCTCTTTGCGCCTGAGCTGCAAGGGGTGCCATGGGGCAGTCATGTCAGTGGTTGCTTCTCCTTGCAGGGCGTGCCGGTGGGCTTGCCCTGCCCTGCTTGATGCCCACCACCCTCAGCTAAATCGCAAAGTAAGTTATATGGGAAGGGTGAGGAAAGCGAGTCCCTGACATGCTGGGGCTTCCCCACTGGTTGGTTGGACTGAAGAGCCCAGAGGGAAACAACAGGGAGACAGGGCAGGCTGCCAAGGGGCTGGAGGGTTTGGCAGCTCTTGGGGGGATGAGGGGTGTCCCTGACCGTGCCTCGGGCTGGCGTGGGTGAGGAGCTGGTTGTGGTCATGGTGGAAAGGGATTTGGTGCCTTTCCAGCCTGCTGCTGGCAGCGGGAGCAGAGCAGGTGTGTTGCTAAGTATGGGGCTGGCTCTTGTGGAGAGGCATGTGGCATTGCGTCCAAGTTATTTTGGGTTCCCGTCTCCTGCCCTGCTGAGGAATGGCTCCTACGTAGCAGCCGTGTGCCTTTGTGGCTGAGGCACCTGTCCCCTCGCCCTGACCTTGGGGTGAGTGTCGCCAGCGGCATCATAGCCCCTATGTCCTGCTGCCACCTCTCCTGCC